TTTTGTGTTAAAAAGAATAAAAAAGTAAAGGCTGAAAGTTTTGTTGTTATAAGTTCAAGTCCTTCGTCGGAGAAAGTTCAAAAAATTATTGTGAGAGAGATTTGTACAAAAGGAATATCATTTGTGTGACATTAACGAATGTATGAGAAAATTACAAAACGAAAATACGTCACAGAAGTTCAACGTGAAAACAGCTGGAAGTTCAACTACTACACGGAATGAATTTCAATGAAAAACTTTTAAAACCGTTGCGAGTATGAAAAAGTGATCAACACGGGAAAGTTGCGTGTCTATAGCAGCTTTCCATCGGTATATCACTTGCTCAATTCCGGTGAGTGTTCCGGTGCGTGGATGGAGAGCCACGGGCAAAAAAAGCACGTGAAAAACAGAGTGAAGTTCAAGGTTTCATACCGAGAAGTTCAGGTACTTCACGTGATGCATTTTTCACGAATCTGTTTCGCGATAAAGGCAGAACGAATGATCTCGCCATTTTCCAAATTACTTTAAAATGGCAGGGAATCACAGAAAACCATCAACATGAAAACGTTTCGCATTTTCCTTAGCTTTTCAACGGTATATTATTTGCCCCATTCCGATAAAGTATGTGGAAATTACAGCGAAAATACGTTTTTATCCATTTTGAAAACTTACATAAAGTAGTAAGGAATTGGGAGAAATAATATATACCAAAACGCATTTCCTCAAGCTTTCCAACGCCATATGATTTGTTGCATTCGGACATAGGGTTAAAAAAATACATCGAAAATACGAACTCGGTGAAACTTGTACCATTTTCTAAATCACTTTTAAACCGTTCAAAATTAGAAAAAACTTTCTACATGAAAAAGTAGCGCATTTTCATAAGCTTTCCAACGCCGTATCATATGCCTCAATTGGTTTAGCCGTTTAGAAATGACATCGAAAATACGAACTCGGCTGTTTGGTTTGTGAAATTTTACGATTTTCTAAATTACTCTTTAACCGTAGGTAATTAGAGAAAACTTTCAACATGTGGAAAGAGCGGTTTTGTAGCAGCTTTCCAACGCCATATTACTTGCCTCATTCCGATAAACGGTTTAGAAATGCGATCGAAATTATGATTCACGTTTTTTATGTGAAGAAAAAACGGTTTTCAAAACTGCTCTTAAACCGCTTACATTTTGCGAAAAATTTAACTTGGGTCATGATACTTGTGTCCATAGCTTTCCAACGGTATATAGCAGGCCCTATTTGGGAAATGTTGCGGGAAGTTCAACCTAGCACAGGGGGAAGTTCAGGTCGAACAACTCAGGCAGTAAAATCGCAAAAAAACGCGAGTTCTTCACGACCCGAGTGCAAAATCCGCCTATGAGCGAGATTCCTATCTAAAACGAGTATTTAGTTGCTAAACGGTTTAGAAATGTGATCGAAAATACGATCCATGTTTTTTGTATGAAGAAAAAACGGTTTTCAAAATTCCGATAAAGGTCGGGTTCGTACAAAGGGAAGTTCAGGCGCGTGTACAAACAAAAATACGTCACAGAAGTTCAATGTGAAAATGGCATGAAGTTCAACTACTACGCTGAATGAATTTCAGATGAAAAACTTTCAAAATCGTCGCGAGTATGAAAAAATGATCAACACGGGAAAATCGCGTGTTTACAACAGCTTTCCATCGGTATATCACCCGCTCAATTCCCGTGAGTGGGATGGAGAGCTACGAGCAGTGAATGAAGATCTACGAGCAAAAAAATCACGTGAAAAACAGAGTGAAGTTCAGGTTCTTCACGCGGTGCATTTTCGAATAATCTGTTTCACGGTAGTGGCAGAACGAATGATCCCGCCGTTTTCGAAATTACTTCAAAACGGCTAGGAATAAGAGAAAACCATCAACATGAAAAAGTTTTGCATTTTCCGTAGATTGTCAACGGTATATTATTTGCCCAATTCCGACAAAGTTCGTAGAAATTACGGCAAAAATACGTTTTTCACTATTTTCAAAACTGACTTAAAACCATAAAGAATTGGGAGAAACAATACATACCAAAAAGTTTCGCATTTGTTCAAGCTTTTCAACGCCATATCATTTGCTGCAACGCACGGTTAAAAAATTAGCTCGAAAATACGAACTCGGTAGGACTTGGACAATTTTCTAAATTACTCTTAAACCATTCAAAATAAAAAAAAAACTTTCAGTATGAAAAAGTAGAGCATTTTCATAAGCTTTCCAACGCCATAGCATATGCCTCCATTGGATTAGCCGTTTAGAAATGACATCGAAAAAACGAACTCGGCTGTTCGGTTTACGAAATTTTACGTTTTTCCAAATTACTCTTTAACCATAGGGAATTAGAAAAAACTTTCAACATGTGGAAGGAGCGGTTTTGCAGCAGCTTTCCAACGCCATATTATATGCCTCATTCTGATAAACAGTTTAAAAATGCGATCGAAAATACGATTCACGTTTTTTGTGCGAATAAAAAACGGTTTTTAAAACTGCTCTTAAACCGCTTATATTTTGCCAAAAATTTAAGTTGGGTCATGATATTGGTTTCCATAGCTTTCCAACGATATATAGCAAGCCCTATTTGGGCAATGTTGCGGGAAGTTCAACCTAGTTCACAGAGAAGGTCAGGCGCGTTACTCAGGCAGTTCAGGTTGTGATCAGAATATCAGAATATTATTCTGATCCCGTGATCAGAATAGTATTTATGTATATATATATATATATAGATCCTCTTCCAAGAAAGAAAGTTAGGGTTTGTGCCTCTCGCCGGCGCCGGCGCAGGTCCGCCTCGTCTCCGGTGGCCCTAGGGCCATGGAGGCGCGGTGGATCCTGGCAAGGGCCGGCGGGAGGGCTCCGTTTTTAGTCTTTTTTTCAATCTTGTTAGGATTTGTGTCCTACTCAGGAAGGCGAGACGGCGGCGGCTCCCTGAAGATGAAATAAAGGTCTCCCCGCCTAGCCCCCGTTCCAGCGGTGCGTCTAGCATCGTTGGTGGGCGTGTGGAGGTGTGTCTCCGGCAGATCTATCTTTGGTGGATTTGCTCGGATCTCGTCGTTGTTCGTCTACGTTCGTGTGTCTTCGGTTTGGATCCTTCCGATCTACGTTATTTTTCATCGGCGACGGTTGCTGTTCTGGGGTGCTGGTCCTATGAGGCCTTAGCACGACGACTTTTCGACTGTCTACTACAACAAGTTGTGCCCGGCTCCGGCGATGGAGGGGTGATGACAGCGGCGCGCCTTCGGCTCACTTCGGTGCTTGTAGTCGTTGCTAGGTGGTCTATGATTCTGGATGTAATATTTATATATGGTATTCGTTGTACTGCTATGATTAAAGATGAATAGATTGGAAGTTTTTCCGAATATATATATATATATAAATATAATATTTGGGACCAAATAAGTTGGTAGCTAGCTAGCGCCCGGACCCGACGCAACACGGGCCGGGTATGGGCGTGCCGGCGCCATTCAACCACATCTATCTCAACTAATCTACTATAGTTTTTGTTGTTGTATCTACTTGTAGATGGCGATGCAGACGGCGGCAGCAAATGGGAGCTAGTTAGTAGACATCCTACGCATCGCCATCACGTCCAGCTCTCAGCACAGGCATGGACACCAACCAACCAGCCGCCGTCGCCGAAGATCGCGGCCTTCGTTTTTCGCTCTACTGGAACCAACCAAGATACCTAATGCCAGGGGTTTGCCAAGTGCTTTCTATCGTCTGCTCGGCAATTGCCAAGAACCGAACTAAATGAACTAGGCAATGGCACGAAACTCGGTAAATAAATGTGTTTCCTCAGTGCCGGAAAAAAAGCAAATCGGCAATATGGCAAAACTCGGGAAAGGGTTATGTTTGCCGAGTACCAGCCAAGCCAAACTCGACAAAGAACTGAAAGAGGGATCCCACATAGACTCAGGCCAGGCATCATGACGGCAAACATTTAAAACTTTTTTAAAATGAGGAAAGTCAGGGGTCACCAGAGGCGCCATGTGTTTACATTTGCCGAGTGTTGCACGGAGGAGTTCGACAAACTTTTCCTACAGAAATCACCAGCATGACCCCTTATGCCAAGTTCAGAGCTTGGCAAACTTTTTATTTTATATTTAACTTGAGAAAGCCAGGAGCCACAAGGTAGTGCCACTTGATACCGTTGCCGAGTTCGGAGCTCGACAAACTTTTTTTTTAACCGAAGAAAGCCAAGAGTTCATATGATATCCACAAGTGCATATAACCCGTATATATAGAAATTCATAAGTATGAAATGGCATCCCCATATCCAACATACGAGCATAGCACATGTCAATCAAATATCACATAAGTATAGGTACAATCACAAGTTCTTAAGTTCTTACATACACAAATTCATAACCCTATAAGCAGACACGGCCTCTACAGTTATGGAGGTAGATGAGGCAGGTGTTTCATAGCCGCCAAATTTGAGACAACGTCTTCAGTTATTTCTGTTAGCATTGTACTCCATCCGTTCCTAAATATTTATCTTTCTAGAGATGTCAACAAGTGACTACATATGGAGCAAAATGAATGAATCTACACTCTAAAATATGTCTATATACATCTATATGTACTAGTCCATTTGAAAATTCTAAAAAGACAAATATTTAAGAACAGAGGGAGTAGTAAAGAATTCTGTCAGATATGAATGTTGGCATAAATGAAAAAGAATTAACATGGAACTGCGCCTTGATTCTCACTTTATCAGGTTTACCTTATCCTTCTCGAGCCTCGAGTAGGTGGCCATCGGGGCCAGGCGCAAGGCTTCCGTAGCCTATGATGACTAGTAACTCTCACTTCTCTTTCGATATAGAGCATTACTTTTTTATTGGCTCATAATGTACATCAGGGGATACAAACATTGTCTAGTTCAGCGCATGCCGCCCATAACTCATAAAAAGTTTCAAACTTTAGAAGTACCCTTAACTTATAATAACAGAACACCCACACAAAAAAGGATTTATAATACTAGAAGCATTCCTAAAGAAATGAGCGGATCAAGAACTTAGGAAGATAGGACATTGATGTTGCCGCCGGAGTCCTTGGCATTTCTGCCAGCTACTACTGGTTTGAACTTGCACGGGCACGCGTGCCTTGCAAGTTGTGAGGTGCCGTTCTTGGAACTGCCTGACAGTATCTTGCAGCAGTGGTTGCACGCCGCAAATGTCACGACCTTCCCGTTGATGTCGCGCGCAAATATCTTGGTGAAGTAATCCCAAACATCTGAGATCTTTTTGCGCTTTTTGGACTGCCCATGGTCAGCTGTTGGAGGGTCGCCTCTCCCTGCACCAGAGTTTCCAGTATCTAGCGATCCCAATGAGAAAGGAAAGAAAGATGTGTTATTACTTCCACCCACTTGGACTATAGGAGTAGCTAGCAATTACAAACCATAAGAGTCAGCCTAATACGATGCAGTGATAATCTTGTAGTGTTTCTGTTCAATTTTTTTCTGCTTCTCTTGTATGGCTTATTACGCCTTGAATGTCTTATTTTGAGCAGAGTCTGTCCCACAGGCTTGTTTACGGAACAATTCTCAGACCTTGGGTTTGGTTTTGGTTTTGGTTTTGGAATATATAATCAGGTAGACCATGGCCTACCTTCTTACTCCCTCCGCCCAAAATAACTGTCTCAACTTTGTACTAGCTCTAGTACAAAGTTATACTAAGGTTGAGACACTTATTTTGAAACGGAGGGAGCATCAAATAAAAAAAATGTACTAGTATTGTTTTCCTAGTTAGGTTTCTCAATTGATCTCTATGTACGAGACTAGCTCGAGCTTACCTGCGGAGTTGTCAGGATCATCAGGGTCACCAAGCAAGAGGTTCTCAAGACGTGCCATGAAATAGGATAGTCTTCGGTCGGAACGGCTCTCTGTATCATGATGGTGCATTGGCCTGGATCCTGGATATGTTGAATCGAATGAAGCGTTGCTTGGAGCTGCGAATGCTTGACCACTGTGGTATCCTGCATCACACACAGGGTTTTTAGGAATGCAGATTAACAGGTGCACAAAATAATACTCCCTCCATTTAATTATACAAGGCCACTATGGAATATACATTTTGTATCTATACAAGGCCATCAACAGTAATCAAGGCAAAAATTAATGATGTTTTCTCGTACTAGCAACTTATTTACTACTTGCTTGCATGCAGTCATAATGACACTCAGCCACTTCCTCTAGTCAGTTTTTTTTTTGCATGCATGAGGTGTATTAATGATCCTAGTAAACAAGAGAAAAAGTTGGGTTGGAAAACATATATTAAATTTTACCTTGGTACCTGTAATTTGAGTTTATGGCCTTGTATATAGAAATGGAGGGAGCAGAGAAGATAGGAACGGTCGGAATTCTTTAGACAAGGAGGAAACATGCATCCACAGATTTCATTTAAGAAGGTGCTAGTTCTGAACTATAGTGCTACGTACCCCATATATATACAATAGAAAGATAATGTTATTCAGTTACCACCACTGCATGCTCCTTGATGGCATCCGAGGCATTTGGGGTTGTCATCGTAGTCGGGTGCAGAGTCTGTCTCGAATACATGGCACAGGACTAAATCATCCTACATCGATTAAGCAACGCATTAAACATTGGGAATACATCCCAATAGAATGATTATGGGTACAAACAAATAACATGCTATGTTCTAAGAGTTAGACGTTAGAATGCGATACCCGGAGAAATGAATCTCCCTCGTTCCATGAGTAGTAGATGTTCATGCTCCAGTTGGCCTTGGCGCCCGTGTGCTGGTGGAACTTCATAGCCTTCTTGATCCCCACAATCCTGTTGTATTCCGCCCTGATCACCGTGCAGTGTGGTGGGTGTTGTTGCCAAAACCCATTTGTTGTAGGGGCACCATGAAAGTGGTGAAAGGAAGCTACAGTGGTATTATCCGTGAGGAAGTACTTGTCTCTCAATTCATTCCCCCCCTTGTTGTTGCGCGCAATCATCCCTGCAAATTCATTCGTACAGAGAGAGCCGATATAAACTCTCTACATATAGTGCGATTTTGCCATGTATACATACACCGAATTGTATCGTGCATGTGGCAACGAGCTCTGAATTAGACGTACGTACGTACCAGGGTCCATGAAAGGTAGGTCATCGTTAACACCGGAACGACCAAACCGTTGCTCCCGCCACATGCGTTGGATTGCCGGGACGAGGTAGTCCTGCACCAGCTGCCCATCGGTGGGGTTGCATGTCAAGTCGGGAAGCTCAAAGTCTTGTTCTAGTTTTTTCCCTGCTTCGGCGGAATTTTCAAAATAGTAGCTCCCAAAAAGCATCCCAAATAGAGCAGTTGGATCAATCATATCATCCCTGAAATATCGTTATATATCAAAATTCAGTGGCACCTTTCAACTACAAGTCTGACATGAGGATAGAAGAATGCACATGCAAGTTGAATCAATCTTTTGTGGCAATTGAATTATTCTAAAAAATTGGTTTACTCTGTGCGTGTTATATACACCTACAGAGTAGAGTAGACCTTAATATCTCAATACAAGTATATATAATACTCCCTCCGTACAATAATATAAGAGTGACGCTCTTATATTATATATAGGATGGAGGGAGTAATGATATAAGTAAATAAGTAGAGGACTCACTGGGATAAACCTTCTTTTCCACTGTTATCATAAGAATCCCTTTTCGCGGGATCATATAGGACTTGATAGGCCTCACCTAATTCCTTACAACAATAAGCAAAATCTAAATCAGTATTTGCAGCTAGGCCGCGAGGAAAGCACGCGGTTAGGGCTGAAATTTCCTGGATAGCCCGGCTTGCGGGATTTGCTACAGATGCTCTGAATCCAGTAGCAGAAGTAGGGGGCAGAAGAGAAGCGGGAAAATGTACCTGAAACTTGCGCGCGGCATCAGGGTCCCCGGGATTCTTATCTGGATGAACCCGCCTGGCCTGTAGAAAGAAACCCAAAACGTCGCCGGCGCAGTTAAATCAGCATTCGATGGCTCAAGGATTATCGGTTACGCGATCCTCAAATAAAAAGAGAAAGGATTGGTTACGCGCGCACCTTGAGGTAATACGCCTTCTTGATCTCGGTCTCGGAGGCGTCGGTGGTGACCCCCAAGGTATCGTAGTACGCGGTGTCCTTCACCATCATATCGCACGCAGCTCCTCCCTTCACCTAATGATCGTATTGCAGCTGCAGCTGGACGTGGACGAACGCCGACCCGATCAAGGAAGGAAGCTCAAAGTCAACTCTCCCTCCCTTGCCGATCCACTTTGGTGGTCGAAGCTGTCATTGGTAGCATATATATATATATATATATTTGCAACCGAGTTGGTGGCCCGAGCCCGAGCCCGGCGCAACGCGGGCCGGGTATGGGAGTATGGACCTGCATCACGCAACAACATCTATCTAATCTAATCTAATCTAATCTAATATATACTTGTAGATGGTGATGCGGACGACGGCAGCAAGGGGGAACTAGTACTAGACATCCTAATCCTATGCATCGACAGCCAGCCGTCCCTTAAGAACCATGGGCTTCCGTGGATTCCGCCAAGATGCCTAGCTAATCACTGGGGTTTGCCGACTGCTTTTTATCTGCACACTGCAGCTCCACAACGCCCGTTTGCCAAAACCGACCTAAATGAACAAGTTTCCCTGGTGCCGAAAAAAGCAACTCGGCAAAACTTGGGAAAAGGGTTGTGTTTGCCGAGTACCAACCAAGACCAAATTAGCAGAAATAATGCACCTTATATTATGAAATTTTATCAAAAAAAAAAACATATACACCTTATATAAAGGAACGGAGGGAGTATCTTTTAACTCGAGGAGGCCAGGAGCCACAAGGTGGTGCGACGTTATACCTTTGCCAAGTTCGGAGCTCGGCAAACTTTACTTTATTTTATTTTTTAACACATATCCACCACAAGTGCATATACCACATATATATAGCAATTCACAAGTATCTCATGACATCCCCATATCCAGCATACATATCACAAAAGTACAGGTACAATCACAAGTGCTTAAGTTCTGACAGACACAAGCTCATAACCCTATAAGCAGACACGGCCTCTACTGTTATGGAGGAGGACGAGGCAGGTGTTCCATAGCCGTCAAACTTTGAGAAAGCGCCTTCAGCTAGTTTTGTTAGCATTGTAGCAAAGAATTTTATCAGATACGAATGTTGGCACTAATGAAAAAGAATTAACATGAAACTTGCCTTGATTCTCATGTTTACCTTATCCTTCTCGAGCCACAGGTGGGTGGCCATCGTGGCCTGGCACAAGGCTTCCGTAGCCTCTGACGTTGTCTCTTCGCCCAGAAGGGGTGTGTTGAGAAGATCTACGACTAGGTCTTCATGGTCTCAAGGAGAGAGCGGCGGCGGTGGCACCAACGCGCGGAGCTTTCGCTCAGCGGCTCACATGTGCTGCCACGAGGTCTCCAGGCCACCCATGACGAGCTCAGACCCCCAGATCCATATCTGGGTGTAGCCTCTGCCAACGACATAGAACGTGCTCGAGCCACCGGCCACTACACCCTCGCCACCAACACGACCAAAAGGGTAAGCCACCACCACTGCCATGAAGTCGGTCAGGGAGCCAACCGTGTGGGTCACTGTGCGGGACTGCCGTCACGGCATCCCTGCCCTGAGACACCGCTACCCAACCACCTCACGGCACACCAACCTCGGAAGGATGAGAAGAAGGCACTCCTTCCGCTTCTAGACGTGCGACAGGGTGCCAAGTCCCCACCGCCGCCGTTGGTCGGGCTTCGCTTGGCCACACCCTCTAGCGGTGGCTTAGCAGGATGAGAGGAGGATGGAGGCGGCCGGGTGGGGACGACACGGGAGGGGCTGGGTTTTTTTTCCGTCCAACTCTAAATGCTAATCAACTACCACTTGTACTAGTCACTACTCCTGCTACATTGGCCTGATCTGCTGGAGAGATTAAGCTGTGGTCAATCTCCTCCACTTTGCAGTTAGTTTTCAGGTTTTCTGCCAGCTCCTAGTTTCTTTAGTTGTTGCCTCGTGTGTTTGTACATGTATTCTTATTTTCTATCAGCTCCTAGTTTCTTTAGTTGCTACCGTGTATGTTTGTACATGTATTCTAATTGTTGATTGAAGATATGCACATTTTACTCCCAAGAAAAAACAAGACAATCTCACAAAAGGTCATACATTACTCCATGCTTCCATGCGCTGGGGAAAAAGTTGCCACCGCCACCAATCGTATTCCTCCAGCAGCAAGTATGAATCAATGGCAGTTTCCTCAGGGCCGAAACTGAAACTGATACCGAAATTGTTCCCATGGAAGCTGATTGCTGTATGGATGGAAAGATATATTTTGCTTTGATGATCTATTGCAGGTTAATTTTGTGTGTTTTGATTGGGAATTTGTACAGTTATGCCGCATGCTTTCTACAAAGTCATACATTATGCATGATGCATGTATTTTAAACCATCCCCATGCAAATATTATACTCCAACTGCTACCATGCAAGACCAAAGTTGCAGCAAAATTAATCATATGATGATCCAGACCTACTCAACATCATACCACATATAGGAGCACAATCCAATTAATGCAGATGGCTGGCATCACTAATAAATATAGTAATGTCCAGATTTGAATCAAATCTGCATTTGCTTCACCACGAAAGCAAAATTAACAACGAGACAGGACAACAAACAAAAACATATGGACAGTAACAACTAACAATGATCCTCCCTCCCTCATGGATAACACGACGTCACATTCTCTTCTGGGCATACATAACATTAATAATATACACATTCCCAGGCCCAGCGGCGGCATCACATCGCATCGGGTAACAACTTAACAAGAAGACTGCCCACATGCTTTGGTTGGTTGGTTACTCGGCACCAGCTCATCTTCTTCCAAAAGGCTGTACCAAAAAGTTGGGAAGCAGCTTCAGTAACCCCACCCACCACATTTGTTCAAAGCACGTCAGCGTCATCTCCAGATTAGATGATACCCCCGCGAACGGCATCCGGAAGTGACTGCCCCCCGGCGCCGCCTCCAGCGCGTACCTGCTACAGCCTCGGGACAAACCTCTTCCACGCGGGCGACTGGCCGCTCAAACTTAACCTCGCCGGCCGTCGTGGGCCTCTGTATCCTCTCTACAGATAGTTTGACTTTTATTTCCAAGCATTAAGTTATCCTAGATACAAAAGTATTTCCAAGCATTAAGGTGCAAGCAAGGATGCTCTGAAAATGAAACACGTGATGTTTGATACACCTTGGTACACCACGACTCAAGCTCTCTGCATTTTTTGTTAAAGGTCATCGGGCTAGGCACCGGCTGCTTATGTGTTGTACGCCTTGGGCGTCCCTGTGCTGGTGATGAGCGTGATGGCTGTGCATTGACCTGCATCGCCTGTCCAAACTGTGCCGACCATGCGTCCGACGACCTCGTCCATCCCTGATCACCTCTTCCGCGCAATCAGCCGCACATACGCAGACATGCCTGTGCTGTATTATACTTGAACTTAAGAGCTTCTGAACTCTCTGAATCTGTGTGCATGTTTTTATATTGTGTCACTGCATAGCTCCACCATTGAATTTGGAAATTCAGTCAATGCTTAAACTTGATGAAAAAGAGCAAGAAACAGCGACAGATTATGTGTGTTTTTCACGGAAGTGAGCTGGGAATTTAGATGTTCCTTTTCATAATATTAAGGGCATCGATCATTCAACTATTTATGTTATCCTTCGTGCTCTGACTTGACTGAAGTTGTGTGAACTAGCATAGTATATTGTAATTTTCTGATTTTGAGTCGTGGCATATATATAGTCCTCACACAAAGTAGTTGCAAATGTATTGAAGTATATTATGCACATAGTTATCCTCCCTAATGCCTAAACTGGTACCTTTTCAATCTTTGTGCTGACTACTAAACATAATTATTGTAGGTCTTCCCTGGCCCATGGTCACGCGAAAGTGGTGCTGCTCCGGCAAGCTCCTCTGTCCCCCGAGCACAGTGCTGTCCATGACGGTCTCCTCCCTCCTGTTCCCTCAGCGAGGATGATGTCAATTTTTTGCGAAACAGAAAGTTATGTAGTTCTTCAGTATATGTCCATAGAAACCTATGACAATTTCTTCAGTAGCAGTTCAACAAAAAATCCTGCTGTAGTTCTTGAGTATTGTTCCATTAGAATTTCATGCTATCTAAGTATTTTTAGTACTTGCTATTGCAGATAAGTGTTTGTTAGAATTGTCATTCTGTCAGTAAACTACCATTCTTCAGTATATGTTCTGAAAATTTCATCTTTTGTGTGCCTGGTGTGAATCGTTGGTCTTCTATCACTTTTGCTCCTGAATTACAGGTAGCATGTTGATTTTCGCACTTGATGAAGAACATATCCTAAAATGTGAAAAAAATTTGTTCCCCAATGAATAATTTATTGTTCGTAAAGATCTATTTTCTTCCAGAGTGATGAAGTTTTGCTCCTAAACAAAGAACTTTATGTTGGTCCTAAATGAGGAGGTAGTATAGGGAACTACATGTACGTGTTTTTCTGAAAACTTTCTTAAACCATTTTTTATGAAGTATAGGGAACTTCATGTACGTGTTACTCCCAAAACGATATGAAACTTTGTGTGTACAATTTTTTTAATATACCATATTGATTGAGAACTAAAAAGGGCGTGCTTTTTTAATAATCTAGAAGTTCAACGACTTCCACCTAGAAAGTTCAAAAGACATTATTTTTGAGGGAGAACACATCCTTCCTAGAAGATGCATATGGAATAAAATGTAAATTCGCAATGAAGTTCATATATAAAAAAAGTTGAAGTTTGCATAGAGAAAAAGGTGCATTTCTGAAAAAAAGTACATGTTTTCTAATTCCAGATGCTTATATGGTCGTCCTGTGACATTGAAATCTTTTTCATTTTAGGTGAGCCAAATTTTTGTGTGGATGTGTTGTGCATGTGCTTGTGCGTAGTACGCTGAATAGAACAAAAAAGAATATTATGGGTGCCCTCTAAATGTTTGTCCTACTGCTTAGTAGAATTGACCAAAATTTCCTATTGTTTTTGCACATGTTGGATTCAAGGGAAAACGTGTATAAAAAAGGTAGTATTTCGAAAGTTCAGGTGTAACGAACATCGAAGTTCAAGCTAAT